TCTCTCTCTCTCTCTCTCTCTCTCTCTCTCTCTCTCTCTCTCTCTCTTGTTCGCTCGCTCCATTTCATTTTCATTCGGCATTGGACAAATATTATCACATATTTCGATGTTCAGAAGGTAGGAGCACCGAATAAAAATGGAATGTCACCCACTGGAAATGTAATCGAGTTTCCGTGATTTATAGTTTTTACTGTGACTAGTCGTTTCGACTTTTCCATTTGTCACATCCCAAACCGAACCGAACGAGAGAAGAAAAAATAAAACAGTCACTGGGAATTTTAGTTACACAGAAAAATCAGCATGAAATTTCAAATGCAGAAAAATACTGTCTCGAGACAGTCGGAGATTACATATCTGCAAATGACGCCGAGATGCTGTGCAAACATTCGATTCATTTCTATGGAAATTAAAAATTTACATTTTTTTTTCGCCTTGTCGCTCGTGATATCGGCATATTTCGGCATCATTGTCATCAAATTACGTCGTGTTAATGCTTCGAATGGGCTTCATGTTTTTGACAGCATTATTTTCATTTTCGTTGTTAAATAGCGACGTTAGCGTTCATCCACTCGACACAAATTACACCATGTATATATACATTGACCGGAGTGGCGTCGAAACGACAGCCTCGAGTTTATTAGCCCGGTGTTTGAAACAATAGACACACAGAAATTGATACAAATATTTCAATCGAAGAAAAATTCGATGGTTTCACTGGGTTTTTTCGCTTTGTTCGTCCGTCCATCGTCATCAAGCAAATGGAGTAGCTGTAACCTAATCTGTGTCACTTCAAATGGCTTTGGCTCCGTTCGATTTAATCTATAAATAGTTTGTGTGTTAATTAAGCTCTTGTGTTACAATACACGTTAAAAGATCTTGCATTCGAGTCTAGACTCACTCTCTTGAGTGTGCTCAAAGCCAATCGTTTTTATTCTCTCGCTCGATGTGAGCTTCATCTCTTCTTCGGACGAGAGGATGAAGAGTGAGAAAAGCGAAAAAATCGCATGTTAATCAAGTGTTTACTTTGGACCGTAGCTCTAGAATCGGCTTGGAACAGCGAAATTCGTGAAACATGTTGCTGAAATTGAAGAAAACAAATTTATTGCCATCCCTTTTCTACTATTTTTCGTTGCTTGTTTCTCTAGCTCATTCGGTCACGCACAGTCAGCTTCACAGAATCAACGCAAAAGAATCGAAATCGTAGCATTGCTACAATTGTTGCCTTAAAAAGGTAAGAAGAAAAAAAAAACGGTCTTTTTGTTGTGCTTGAGTGATTTTCGCAATATATTTTTTCGGTGGTCTTGAACACGAATTCAATCAAGGACACCGATCGCATGAGTGGCCAACGTTCGTTTGCTCGTTCGTATTATATGTTGCATATGCATTCACTAGCAATCGAAGCCAGCGAGTGAGTTATGTCTCTTGCTTCTTTCATTTCGGTTGTTCCATTCAGCAATAAGCGTGATCAAAATTCGGAACTCACCAAAAACAACAACAACAACAAAAAACTGTCCAGAATACAATGGAAACAAAAAACGGCAGAAGAACTAAATATAAACATTACAATTTGGCGTGTACATTTTTGTTGTTTCTTCTTTTCTAGGTACGAGCAGGAAAATCGAATTACGAAAGAAGTTCGTCGTCGTCGTCGTCGTCGTCGTCATCATCGTCATTAATTTTACATTACAATGGTTCGTATTTTTTGTGCTGTTGTTGCTGTTGCTCTTCTTACTCTCGACCGTTGATTATTTTGCATTAAAACCATTTTAAAAACCATCAACTAAACGATTATTTTGTTGGGTTCGCATCATTTTGCTGGGCGTAATTGACATTTTATTTAATGTGCCAGTGAGAGAAACGGTAAAGTTTTTAAAATGATAAGATCGATAATGGCTTATTTTTCTTTCTCTTTGTGTGTGTATGTGTACTTCAAATGGGAATTTTCACTTTCAATATAAAAATTCCATTGATTGTGTGTTATTGATTTGAAGAACGTCGGTTGAATATCTAATTTGAGTCAAAAAGCGTGTGGTAATCGTTGATTGGTTTGAATTGTATGAGGGAGCCTCGTGTCAGTACAGGCACGTGGAATAATTGGATGAAGTCAGAGACTTTGGCTTATATCATATATTCAAAAATATCATATTTGATTTCTCATTGTTGCACTTAATCGAACTGGTACCAATTGGAATGGGCCGGTTTTGCCTTCACACTTCACACACACACACACACACACACACACACACACACACACACACACACACACACACACACACAAACAATGAACCGAGAGCCTTATCGACATTTGTTAATTGATATACCGTTTCACGAAACAAACGGTATTTACACAGAGAGAAAAAAAACAGACAATTAAGACCATTCATTTCAGGAAAGGTAATTTTCTAAATAAATAAACCTGAACCAAAAGCAAAATGTGATTGAAGTGTTCATTTCAATTATATTATTGTGCTATTGATATTCTCGTTTGCTTTGTCGCTTTCGATAAATAAACATGAGTATGATTTTTTTCGTGGATCTTGTTGTTCTTTTCAACCAATTTGAGGCAGAACAACCGAAACAACAGCAACAACAACAGTCGAACATACAAACCGAAATGGAAATAATAAATCGTGGTCTTTTTCCGGTTGGGTAAAGTCATCAGTTATTATTATGTGACGTTAAGCACGTGTTTTTTTCTACACCAAACCGATAATCATTTATTCATCCGTCGTGAATTGAGGTTTTGCGAAAACAGCAACGAAAAATTCGTCAAAAAGGAAATAAACTTTAATTATTCGTCAATTATCACTTTTGGTATTTTTGCATTTGTGTCTTTGTGTTTGTCAACGGGAATGCCTCGAGGCTTCTTCCGAATGTGATTTTGAATGAAGGCATTTACACAGAACAACGGAGAAAAACAACAACAACAATAAGAACCGAAAAAGCGCTGATAAATTCGTGGAAATTATTATTAATAAACAAAAAGTGTATTCATAATTTTGGGGTGTGCGCAAGGCATTGGGAACGCTTCAATGCTCATGTCACTGCGTGTGCGAGAGCGAGCGAGTAAGTGAGAACGCTCAGTGTGGTCATCGGTGAAGTGCATTGACACTTTGCTTACGTTATTTGGCTGGAGTTCGATTCAGTTTATTGTGTAAAATTAGTCATATTCTCTATCAGCGTGTTCACTGGCGTCCAGGGCAACGAGCAAACGAACGCTTTCGTTGGGTTTTATTTTGTTTTTGGTTTCCTTTGTGCAACATTATTAAATAATTTCACCGTTGTCACAATGCCGAACATTGACTCTCAATAATAATTAACAAAGGGGGCAACAGCAGCAACCAATTCCACTTCGAGTATATCAAAGGAATTTCACACCGACGAAACAAAGCCGCTACTACTTGCACTTCAATGATGCCGGCGAAATTATTTTGCGAAAAGGTTTTTTGGCTTGCTGATGCCGTTTTTCTTCTGTTTTCATTTTCTGCTGCGCTTAATATTGAATTTTGCCATTTTCGACACCAGATATTTTTGGTACGATGGTGGCTATTCAACAACCATTTTCTAGATATATTAATTAATTACGAACGAAAACCGTGCAGTGTTTCGACGTTTTCACAAGTTCTTGCACAAATTCGATTTCAGGCTTCTTGCAACTGATATGATTTACGCTCTTTCTCTCTCTCTCTCTCTCTCTCTCTCTCTCTCTCTCTCTCTCTCTCTCTCTCAACATACAACAAAACAATTGAAAAAGTTTTCCTCAAGCGCACGCATTTTCTCTGGGCACGCGCATACACTTGACGCCAAAATGCCCAGTGTATGTTTATGTAAATTACGGTACACCGCTTTGAACGCCGACCACGACCAAAAATCAACAGCGAAAAAATTGTGCGTTTTTCTAAGACAGAGAGCGAGTGAATTTTGCCCTAAGACTGAAAAAAACACTTGCATGTGTCTATTTCTGAATGCGCGAAGCGTAAGATAAGCGAAGTGTCATCGCATCATTAATTTAAAATTGAAATGTAAATGGCCCATTAAGACTACCGCCCAACGACCTAATGAAACCGCAAAAATTACTTGGACACAGAGCGAAAAAAATGGCACTTTTCTTTCAACTCCGGTGACCGAAGCCATACGAAACACGAAGTCATAGTCAGTGTGTCGTAGTCGAACGTAGGAAAAAGTTTACGTAAAATTAAGTAAAAAGTTGTAAATTTGTGAAAAATATGTTGGAAGTTATACTACGGCTATAGCATAGGATTGATTTAATTTAAAGCATATTTTGCTGAAGTAAGAAATTCACTTCGACGATTGAAACATGGTTCAAAATGGAAAAAACAACTGGATGGAGAGAATATGGTACTTACCCTGCATTTTCAGTAGCGGTAATGGACATGTGATGCTCATCAGCAAGCCGCAGGGATGTGCCACCCTGGATTAAAGCTGGCGGAGCCGATTGCTGCTCCGTGGTCGCTGATACCCCAGCCACCTGTAACAAAAAGAATGAATCCAATTAATTCACCGTCTTCCAAGAAAAACAACAACAGCAACGAAACTTCTGCTAACGCAGAGAGACGGCTTCGAACGTCTTCAAATGAAATTCTAAACAAAAAAGTGACATCCACAGAGAGCCGCGATAAAGGTGACGAAAAATGCGTCCTAATAAATATCAATCAGCCGTTGAATAGGCAAATCTAAAAAGATAAATCTTGTCCCCAGACAATGTTTCAATGCATCCTTTTTTGAGTGTGTGTGTTCTGCTATTAGATGAGCCTCCATTTTTGTCTCTTTTGTTGTTGCCAATAATTTCAAAACATATTTTAAAAAATGAGCTGTTTATTTTCGGTATCGTCATCACGTCTGTCTCTCTATTTTCTTGTAATTAAAGTGAGCCTTTTCAAGCCAACTTTGTTTGCTAAACGCGCGAGCATAACAAAGGGAAGAACATGAAGAGAGAAGTGCCATTTTATTGATACAATTCTGACAAGGAACACGACTCTAACCGAAAACGGTAAATAACCGAAACAATATTTTTTCTCAATTGTCGTTTCGTTGCAAGAAGCGAATAATCTGTCATATTTTTCAACCCTCGGCATAAGCGATGGGTTTTCATGCACCCATTAAAGACGTACAAATTTTCATTTCTCGTCGTTTCCAACGAATCTTCTATTGTTCCATTTCTTCGCCATTGTTATTCAAAAGCAATTTTTGATCACTCTGAATCTGTTTTTCATCATGGCTTTTCATTGTCGGCTTTTATTCTTCACAGAAATGTTTTCCCTCTGCCATTGTGTGTTTGTGTATAATAACTTCGACAGGATTGCGGCATACTTATTTTTTTAACGCGATTTTCAAGAGATAAAAAGAAACCGAACGAGACATGGACACCAAGCGACAGAGTGAGAGAGCGAGCGACAGAGTTTTATTTGAATTTCGGCTTATTTTGAGACTAAATAAATTTCGAATGGCATCAACATATAAATGGATTGTGTGACAAAAGAGTGCTTGAATACACCTCAACAGATTACAGCCATATGCAAATTCGTCCTTATATTCCATTTTTCTCTTCTTCTTCTTCTTTTACTTCTTCTTGTTTTGTCTCTTTTTCTTTTGCTATTGTAACCGAAGGATGTTTTGATGTTCTGATGTTACCATTGAAACGTAACACTTTTTTGTGTTGAATTTTGTATAAATAAGACACAAACTGCCCACATCACATCGTGTGTTACGATTGAGCGGTGTGCGTCATTCAATTCACCCATTTTGATATTGTGTGTTCTCGTGTATTGTGTGAAGGTGTGTAACGATGGATTTGTTATGTGTTTTCTGGATTGAATGCGAAACAATAAAAATATCAGCAACGCCAATAACAATAAAACGATTTAAAGACGAAGCGAAGAAGACGGAGAAAAGTCTCGTTGTTTTGTTTCTTTTTAAAAGTTATTATTGTTTCGTCCATTGTTTATTTTCAATATATAAAGGAAAACAGATGCAACAAAACCATCAGCAGCAGCAGCAGCAGCAGCAGCAAGTTTTGTTCTCTTGCCATTCGGTTCGTGCTTCGAAAAACTAGCTAGTGAATGGTTTCTTCTCGGATTGAGCGAAGTGAGAGAAAAACAAAAAAGTTTTGCTACGCGCGTTTCTCTGAATTCGACAGAGAGAACGATAGAGCGACTCTAGAACGTGATTGATTTCTGTAGAATGCGGTCGACAGCAAAACGGTAGCACATCAATGCTGCTGTTGTAAAGTCCATTGAATGGAGAAAAAAAAAACAACAACCATAACAAAAGCAATGGCAAAAGCTATTTGTAACAGATTTTTTTTTATTCTCATTTGAGGCACAAACACTTGAACGGAAATCATTTGCTAGCCCGATAAAATAGAATAAAAAAAACGAACTATGCGATTAAAGAAGAAAAAAAAACACATACACCGACGACGACTAAATTCGTTTTCGAAATAAAGACTTTTGCTTCACGGTATTCTTTTTTACATCCATTGATTTGCACGGCGGACTTTTGATTGATTCGCTCGTTTTGAGAATTGTTTTTTTTTTTCGTGTATACGAGCCAGAAACCTTCATCATTCACAACATGGCCGAAGTTCATTTTGAGGGCTACGGCTTTTTTCTCTATTCTTCAATTTTTGGGCGAAAAATATTGTATTTCAATTTTTGATGCTTGACAGCTTTATGAAATCGGTGTTTTTCTTTCGTTTTTCGGCTGCAACAGGTGCATCGGCTCATTATTCAGTCTATTCCAAGAACATAACTTATTGTAAATAGAGAGAATACTGATGAAGAAAAGTAAGAAAAAGTTTGGCGTAAATTTGTTTTCAATAACGAAAGAAAAACTGCGATATTTCTGGCTGGGGTATTAAATTCCGTGCCGATCGGATTTAATTGAATCGTCTGGACTGTGCGAAGAAGAACGAAACGATGGCATAGCTAATGGTAAAGTTTCTTTCCCACATCAAATGCAAACCTACTTATAAGTTAGCGTCTATGTCTTTTTATTGATATTGTTATTGCGTTTACATGTTATTGTTCTGCCATTGCTAATCTCCATTATTATGAGTCGTTATTACAATATCGGTTTTTGGTGAGGGTACGTGCGTGCGTGCGCGAGTGAGTCAGCGGTCAGGCAAGCGAACGATGATATTGTACGCATATCAGTGCCGGTGTGCAATGATATTAACCATATTTTTCGCTGGCTTTACAGTTGTCCATTACATTGTATTGGCCGTTGTCAAAGTAAGAGCTAAGCGACTAGGTAAAGTAATATGTAGAGTCATTTTCATTTGGCTAGTCATAGCTTATTTACTTCGCGTGTATGTGTTTGGTTTGTGTCATTTGTAAAGCTCATTTGAGTTTCCATATAGATAATCTCATTACGTAATGATAGTGTCCGTTTTAAGAATGGACTGGCTATGCTAAGAATACGTGCATTACTCTCAATATTATGTTTAATGTGGCATGAGATCGCAACACATTTGTGGCCAAGAAATGTGTGCGCTTTGTTTTTTTCTCTCTCTATCCAATTGAGCGAACACACTGTGAGATGTCGCCTCGATTCTATCTCGTTGCACATGCATTCCCCCAAACACTGTGCACCACATACAAACACACAACCCGAAATATCCATAACATAAACTTTAATTTGCCGAGCGTAAAGCGACTAGAACCAGAAATTATTACTGTACGTATATTCTAAAAGTTTTTAATGCGAGTAATGATCCGTTAGTTGATTGAAATAACGACCATTTTAATCGGATTCGTCGTCGTCGTCATCGTCGTCGTCGTCGCTGTGTATTTCCGTGCAGTACGAATCGACCAAATCGAATCAGTTTGTTCGACTGCATATAAATATTGCATTTATTCACAATAAATTGGCCATAAATTGGCAGTTTTCATTGGATTTACTTCATAATTTAGACTCGTTCGCGTATTTTTTTTTCCTTCGTTCTTTTCGCTGTGTGGTTTCTTCGCTTAAGACGTGTTACATCTCTCGGAATTATCTGTCTGTGGTGGTAATCGCATTCGATTTTTATTTCTTTCGATCTTTTCGCCCATTTGTGTGTTTTTTTTCATGCTTCGCACGAAACACGTGAACGTCTAAAAATACCAACAAGTCACCGTATGTCGAACATATTAAGCTCTCAAAAAGACAATATCATTATTGCGTTATTACGTCGCTTATTCTTACACGAAAGAAAAACAGCAAAATAAATACACATCGTCATTTTTTGTAATTCGCTTTGACGTTTCGTTTACAAGCAGACTTTTGATTTCGACAAAAAAAAAACGAAATAATGCTTAGAGATTGTGTGGTGATTCAAATACAAATCAAAACATTTTAACAGTTTAATACATGACTAATGACTTTTTCGGTTTTTTTATGAAGCCGCAACTGAAAACCTCTACATTTTTTTCTGCTTCTCTCGCTTTGGCATTTGCATGGCAGAAATTATGAACATTCGTTATTTCGAATAGTACGAGTCGCATAAATAACACACTTAATCTCACATATAGTAAAATGTTTCGGTGCTGTAGGATCTGTGTGTGTGTGTGTGTGTGTGTGTGTGTGTGTGTGTGTTGTGAGGAAATAGAACAAAAGGTATAACAATAAAAACATTGTGCTTTGCTTGAAGTGTTTCTCTTCGGCGCGTTTTTTTTCCTCGATGCTCGCAACAACGCAATAAATGACAACAGCAAAATTTGCATTTTCTCTCCATCCCGAGCGAGTGTTTTTTTTTGTTGTTTTCGAAACGCACACACTAGCTTATGTTTACATTTTGCATAACACTTTAAGCGCCTTGTTTCGAGTGCGCGCACACAAGATGTCACAGCGAATTTGAAATTTATTTTGCAACGCCAAACTCGACGGCATGGCCTTTTTTCGCTTTTCGCCTAACCTTTCTTTTGGCCATTTGACAATTGTCACACATTATTTATGCGACGCCAATTCGACCAACACTTTGACATAAATATTAAACAATACAAGTTTTATCCTGACTACACTCATAAAGTGTTTGGTCTTTGGTTTTCACATTTTCATTCATTTTTTGTCAATACACATTGTGTTTTCGGTCGGTCGTTTTGTTAGAAATTATGGCCTTTCTAAACATTGTGTTTAAGTCTGTGTCGTTTCACGTATTTCATTTGAAAATGTCATGGAGACATACACGTAAACTGAACGGGAAAGAAATCTCCGCCATATTCATGCGTTTTTTCTTCGGAGCTGGTCATATTTGTGTGTGTGTTTCTTATTATATGCGCCGGGTCGAAATGTCACGTAATTGTTGATTGTTTGTGTGTTGTAATTTTGGTGTTTTTTCTTGCCTTTTCCATTTGAATGCATAGAGGAAATCTAACGGAAATCTCAGCAAGTGCGCGCTATGTATAGGATTTTTGCAAATCATAAACAAAATTTTTCCACATATTCAAATGAGCAACAATCAATTCGTCAAACGAATTCAATGTAAATTTC